TATATTACAAACAACATATATATGAATTCAAACAAGCATTGCATTAACTCATATCTGATTATAAAATATATAATAACATATATATATATATATATATATATATATATATATATATATACATTCGTAAAAGTTGAAACATCATAGAACACATAGTGGATAACGAACTGTCACATTACATTACCTAAACATCGGAATAGGCGGTCTAATAATACTACAAACGGAAACACACACTCTTCTCTGGTCGGTAGTTAGTGGAAAGTGAAATCAAAAGTCTCTCCATCACTCACTAACTATTATATGTTAACAACGATAAGTTTTTTTTTGGAACTCGCAAATGTATTAAAAGCTCCCGTCACCGCCCGCCTAGCAAGTCACTAGACGGCAGAGGAAAAACAGGAGTATAAGAACAAAATGTTTACATACAAATTAGAGGAGAAATGGACCAATCGACCCATTTGTAACTACATTTCAGCCTTCTATGTTTAATCCAAACAAACACATGTGACTTAATAATATCTGCCACCTTTGTTGGAGAAGCTCGTATGTTTTTTAGCACTCTATCGCACCTCGCCTTCCAAAGCCACCATAACGTCCCATAACAAATAGTAATTAAGTTATTTTTTCGATCCTTAGCATTCCCAAATGAAGCGATGTACTCAGTTAATTCTCTAATTGTCGATGGTTGGAACATTGGAATGTCACACCACTTCAAGACCCAGTCCCAGACTGCTTTCGCGAACGGGCATGAAAGCAAAATATGGTTAGAATCCTCCTCATCAACTAAGCAATAAATGCACATCACCGAGTCCAGGTTCATGCCTCTATGCATAAGAGAAGATAGTGATGGGATACGACTCTGCATTGCTCTCCAAATAAAGCCTATAAGTTTGATAGGAACCTCACGGATCCATTTCACCCTATCCATCATAACCTGATTTAGAGGTTTATCAATTACTTTCCTGAGGGAAGCCACCTGGAACTCTCCATCAGCTGTGATACCGCATTTCCATCTATCGTTTGAAGCTTGCAACTGAAAGGACCCAAGCAATGACGAGATACTATGTAATTCTTCCAAGAGGGCTTCATCGAATCGACGCGAGATTCAATCCCACGAGGGACCACCAATCTGGATTCTATCTGCAATCAAACATCTTTTTTTCTTTTCAAGTTGATACAGCCCTGGGAATGCAGATTTTAGAGGTTCATCCCCAATCCAATGATCCAACCAGAACATAGTATCGTCTCCTCTCCCAATATACTTTGTAATCACATGCTCCATATTAATTCCCATATTGTTCAAGTCATGACGAATACCAGCAATGTTGTTCCATACTCCTGTAATAGTTTTGTTAGATATCACATTGGAGGGCTTGATATGGAGGTTGTGAATTCCTTTAATAACACTGGCCCAACTCGCCATGGGATTTGTTCTCAGACGCCACCACCACTTGGTTAGCAGAGAAAGATTAAGAGCCCTGATCGAGTCCACACCCAAGCCTCCCATATCCTTTGGAGCGATAATTTTTTCCCATGTAACCCAGTGTATTTTTTTTCTGTCCTCATCCCCTCCCCAAATGAATTTTCTCCTGATACCCTCCAGTGTATTTAATACCCCGATAGGTGCAGCAAATAGTGACAGTAAGAATGTTGGGAGGTTTCCCAACACTGCTTTCGCTAAGGTCAATCTTCCCCCAAAGGATAAAGTTTTTGCCTTCCGTGCTGTTAGTTTGGACCGAAAACGATCAATCACCGGGGCCCAATGTCGCTTAAGGTTCATATTCGCACCAACTGGAACGCCTAGGTAGATAAAAGGAAGTGACGCTGGCTCACAGCCAAGGGGCCCAACCCACCTTTGTACTTCATTCGGGCATGCTCCAATTCCGAACACCCAAGATTTATGGAAATTTACTTTGAGGCCAGAAGAGATTTGGAAGCACCTCAATATATGTGCTAGGTTGAGTATGTTTGATCTGCTCCATTCACCAATAAATAAGGCGTCATCTGCATAGAAAAGATGTGAAATCATCATATCTTCGTGTGGGATCCGGGCCCCATTAAAGATGCCTTTCTCACACGCCGTCTTCATAACAACATTAAGCCCTTCCATAACCATTATGAAGAGCAGTGGTGATAATGGGTCACCTTGTCGTATCCCCTTCCCAAAATTGAACTCAGTCGTGGGCGAGCCATTGACAAGAACCGACGCCCTAGCAGATTTGAGGCACCCCTTGATCCACATCCTCCACTTTGAGCCATACCCCATTTGTTACATTGTAGAGTCTAAAAACTCCCAGTTAACCGAGTCAAATGCTTTCTCGAAATCCACTTTGAATAAGAGTAGTTTCGTTTTTGTTTTTTTCGCCCATGAACATAATTCATTTACAATTAGCGGCCCATCATGTATATTCCAGCCTTCAACGAACGCCGATTGAACCTCATCTATGTTATGACCAATAACCCTTTTAAGCCGGACGGAAAGGGCCTTTGCTACAATTTTGTACATGCTCCCAATTAGACTAATCGGGAGGAAATCATCGAGAACTAGTGGGTCTTTGACTTTTGGTACCAAAGTAATGAAGGAGGAGTTGCACCCAGGACTAAGCTTCCCATGTTGTTCGAAATGTTTAAAAAATCTGAATATGTCTTCCTTCATTAAGTCCCAATAGCTTTTTATGAACTTAAAGCTAAAACCATCAGGCCCAGGAGCCTTTTCTCCGCCACATGCCCATACTGCTAACCTGATCTCCTCCATAGAAAAAGGAGATTCAAGATCACGACTAATATCAGGATCTAGAGCCATAAACTTTTTGTTAATCAGTTTTGGTCTCATAGGCCATTTTTCTTGAAACTTCATTTGAAAAAATCTATATACCTCCTGTTTTATATGATCAACATTTGTATTCCACATACCATTTATAACCAGCCCATGAATATGATTTTTTTGTTGTTTTCTATTCACGAAAGAGTGGAAGAAGCGTGTGTTCTCGTCTCCGTCAACTGTCCATTTTATCCTTGCTTTCTGTTTGACATCAAGTGCAACGATTTTATCTTGTTCTGCCAATTTTTGGAATACCATTCTTCTTTCCTTCAACTCCAATTCACTCAGATCGTGGGATTCAGAAGCCACATCCAACTCATGAATCCGGTGTTTTAGCCTATGCAATTCCTTTACCTCCTTTGAATAATCTGTAGCCCTCCATTTCTCAAGTTCGTTTTTTAAGAATTTGAGTTTTGCAACAAGGTATCTATCATGCGACCCATACCCAGTGAACGATTCCCATACTTTGGTTACAACCTGTTCGAAGCCTTCCCGATTCATCCAGGAATTGAAAAATCTGAACGGGGGTTTACCAAAGTCCGCAATCACTGATTTCAAGAGTATTGGGTAATGATCAGATAGTTCACGTGATATTGCCACCACAGAGATATTGGGAAAATGATTGAGTAATCCTGGGCATACCAAGAACCTGTCCAGTTTACTCATTTTTGGCTCCGACTGACAGAAATATGTGTACCTATGACCCCCCATCCTTAGATCTCGAACCCCAGCTTCCCCAATGAATCTGTTAAACCAAAAAGCTGTTGAATGATTAAATTGAGAGTTGTATCTTTCTTCCGGGCCTCTAACAGTATTGGAGTCTCCAAATATTAGCCATATACCCCCTATCACCATTTTAATTCCCAATAGCTCATCCCATAACTTCCTTTTCTCTAGTGGGGCATGTGGCCCGTATACATTGCAAAAAATAACGTTCTCTTGGATACCCGACCAAGTACCAACAGTAATTAGAAAGTGACGAGATCTAATTACCTCAATAACATCATAGAGACGCCTATCCTATATACTTAATATTCCCCCGGACCTACCTGTTGCGTGTGTTGCAACATATCCGTAGTCTACAGCGCCCCAACAGCCCTCTATATCAATCTTCTCAGAGTCCATCAATTACGTTTCTTGTATTCCAAAGAATGAAACCTTATATTTATTTTTGAGCCTTCTCACCCAGGTGACTTTTGGGGCTTCACCAATACCCCTTATATTTAGGCTCAAGCAATTCATTGTGGAACATTTCTCTCACCGAATTCCCCCATGACTTCCTGCACGACCGGATTTCCTTCATCAATTTCGAATCCAAGTTGCTCACCAATTTTTATTGTTCTCTCTGTTTCTGAGTTGGCGGAGGTACATTCCGCAGCACCATCAGGGGATCGCTCATCATCCCCGTTCCTATTTAGGGGGGTGTTTGGCTTAGCTTTTCACATCCCAAAAGTCCTTTTTGGAAAAGAAAAAAAGCAGAAGATGTTTGGCAAAACTAGTTTTAAAAGCTACTTTTAGAGTTTTTATACAAGGAAAAGGAACTTTTTGGAAAAGTCAGGAAATCCTGACTTTTTGTAACTTTTCCAAAAAGGACTTTTGGCTGTGAAAAGCTAAGCCAAACACCCCCTTAGATCAATCGATGGAGCTTCTCTTTCTTCCTCACGAGCTGACGAATGAATAACATAGTTGGGATGGTCAGGGATCGACTGAGGAATCTGAGAGGGAGGCGTGGTGATTTGGGGATTGGAGGAATGTCCTAATCTTCTAGGACTATTATGCTTTTTTTTTGCAGCGGATCCTCCATTATTTTTTATTTGGTCCATAATATCGGATTGGGCCCTATGGCAAGGAGAAGGGAATGGCCCAAAACAGCCTTTTGGTAATAAGAGACCAACTAGTTCAGGTATATTGTCACACGTGGGGGGTCGTCTTTAATATACATGCATCATCAGCAATCGCTAGTGGGGTAAGAGGGATTCTTTGACTATTTACATTCAATGTACTCATATTCCCAGTGGAAGTATTAATTTCATGCACCGTTCCAATCTTGCGTTCGTTGCCCTTCCTCATTCTGACCGGAGGGTGCCGCCGGTTCCTTGCCTACTCCGGTGTCCTCCTGTGATTTTTCCGGCATCTGATTCTGGTGGTCCTCCAAGTTTCCAGTATCTCTCTTTATCCCTTTCTAGTTTTCTTTTAGAATCTCTCCTTCTTCTGGGTCCTCGTCCCCATCTTCCATCCATGTTTCGGATATCCCTTCCTCATCCTCTGAGTTTGTCTCTTCATCGTCACTATACTGTCCTTCATAGAAGTTTTTCGAAGAATCAAAATGGAATGGAAACCAGTCCTCATCGAATTCAACTACCCCAACCTTGATTATTTGATCTTCCGTGGCTACCACTACTTCTTCATTGATTCTGGTTCTCCTTGTTGTAATGATGACTACTTTAGCGCAGGACAGATCCACCCTGTGATATACCTCATAAAATGGGGCAATTATCTTCCCAAACTTCCGGCAGATGTCTTCAAAATTCTTTTCTCCCCAGAGTTTCAGTGGAAGCCCCACTAATCTCACCCAAGCCACTCGATCAAAATTTTGCTATAGGTTATCACCAGGTTTAACCCATTTTAAGTTCTCGACCCATCTTTGCTTATTTTCCATAAAACTCCTGGCCTCCATTGAGCTATCAAAAACAAGTAAAACCTTCAGCCCTCCGATGTTCTTGATTTCAAGAGCCTGCTCTTCTTTGGGCAGAAGGAGTTTGGGGAGATGCCCCAAATGCGAGAGGGAGATGGCTTCAGCAATGAGTTTAGTTTTTCTAAGCCATGAGCACATCTCAGGCGCCTGTTTGAGAAGAATTGGGGGCTCCGTTGCAGATGCCGGTGCAGGGGGGTTAGGTCTGATTACGTCTGCGTAGGAGCGTTGATCTCTCACACCAAGTTTAGGGTCGACTCTCATTGGTTGTTTATTCTGATGTCTATTTATCAACTGTGGATCCATCTTCCTGAGTTGAGTGGATACATTCACCATTAATTTCTTCCCGTTGTATGTGATACCGTTGAGCTTCTTCTCTAACCCAGTGATGTCTCTAACTCCTCTGAAGCGAACGAAAGCAAAATTCTGCCCATTCCATCTCTTTGTTGTTCCCATATATACATCCGTTATGTCCCCATATTTTGCGAATCTTCTCCTTAGATCCATTTTCCTTGTGTTATGAGGAACATCTGAAACACATAAGTAGCCAATCTAATCAGGGACTTAAATGACTTATCATTAAAACACATAATGCCTAAAAATACTTATTGTTTTGGATGAATATTGTGATGTTATTGTTATAGATGATCCCATCATAAAAGACAAAAATATGGTCATTGAAGGCATTTGTATATTTCAACAAAATCCCTTTTAACAGGTTTCAACAAAAATCATCTTTACGAAAGAAAAAAAAAACATTTTCATTTTCGCTTTATACACTCAATAGATAAGTTAAATTTTTTAAAATATATTTTGTATATAAAAATAATGTATTGCAAATCATGGACTCATAAATTCCAATCCCACGTCATCTATATATAAACTTAGGGTTTCAGAAACAAATAATATTTGAATTCTACAAGAAATCATGTAAGATGCAAATCACAAACATATGCATATTGACAAGGTTTGTAAAGTCTAAGTGAAATCAATGACATCTTTTTAGAATGTAAATACTCCTACACTGTATCCCAATTTCAACCAAGTGTTAAGACCACATCATCAACTCACACAATTAGTGTTCGATACATATACAATTTAAATGAGTCACTTTGTTTCAACAAATCACTATGTAAGCACAATTAAGTATATATATATATATATATATATATATATATATATATATATATATATATATATCAACAGTAAGTATTTAATACCATGATTGTTTGATATTCATATAAAATCAAATTGTCTAATTAGACTATATGGTTAGGATATTCTGGTTTTTGGATTCGTTTACACCAAACCCGAGTTATTATTTTGATTTTTAGTTTGTTTTGGTTACTAAAATAAGAACTATATAGCCTAAATACATCGAATAACAATTATATATATATATATATATATATATATATATATATATATATATATATATATATATATTAATGTATGTTTATAATTATTTATTAATTTATTAAACTAGTTTTTTTAATTAAATTAAAAAGGTTTGGACCAACTACAAAGTATATATTAGATAACTATAGTCAACTAAGATGGTGATACTAATGGACTTCTAGTTTAACAATATCAACTAGAATCTGAATTTTTAAGAGATCTGAATTTTAAAAGGGTTTGAATTTTAGAATTTGAAATTTTTACATGTTGTTTGGTTGGAACCTCTGAATTGTTGTATTGAATAATAAAATAATTATTTTACCCTTCTGTATCATTTCTTTCAATTACAACATTGTACTTTCAACATTTTCCCTATTAAGACATTATACTTTAAAAACTATAACCAATTTGAGTTTCATCCTCGTCTAATGTCACCATGTGAAAATCATCCATTTTGTAACCTATAAAAACTAATTAATTCCTAATTTATTATATAAAAAGGCTTAGCGGCGCAATTTGTTGCTCGTTTGCCTTCACACTCATTGTATTGTGATCAATAATTAACCATGATTGTGTTATGGTTTAAAATATAAATAAAAAATGCCGATTAGAAGGATTTTAATCATGGAAATCACACATCCTCATCTATCATTTGAGAACTTATACCTTTATTTACCAACATCCTTTCAGCAAACATACCTAAAATAAAAACTATAATTTGTTACAAATAAAATTGCATTTTGAATCTTCTGAAAAAGCATATGGACTTTTACTTTCTGTTAGTGGTTCTTTAGGTTTTCGAATACATTAGATGGATCCAAAAGTACAGCTTTGACTCATTACCAATAACCCAAGCTCTACAAATGGTGATTATGTTGTTAATGGTTCTGATAAATCATCTCAGCATGATCCTCAACTTCATGAAGCATCTGATGTGTTCTTGACTCCTAGATTTCTAGAAGATAACAATGAAGGATGTCTAAAACCAGTCCGCCAAGCACTAATTTTGGTTCCATATATAAAAGAAGTTGATGCCCAACCAACGATCTCGACAAGCAATCGATTCCCAACTAATGATTTCAACAAGCAGTTGATTCCCACAAAAATGATTTCATTACTGATTTCAACAATAAACCACTGATTTCAACAAGAAATCGATGATTTCAACAAGGAACAAAATACATACTTAAAGAAGCATCAAGCTCTGCTGTGAGACGATGGTGTCGTAGGTGTAAAGGGTGGCGACGTCCGGAGATGGGAGACTGGAGAGGATGTGTGCGAGGTCGACAATGTGGTCGGCGGTGTTGTGCAAGGGCGAAGAAGGGAGGTGGTGGTTGGCGATAGGAGGAGATGGTCGGCGCTGGAGTTGGTCGGAGGAGGGAGGAGACTGAAGGGATGACGAAGGTGGGTGTGTTTGATGGACACATACAAGGGCAAAAAAAAAGAGAAGGGTGTGTTTCTTTTCTTTTCAGATACAGGCTGAAGTCTAAAAGTTTAAAAGGCTTTTCGAAAATTTTCTATTCAGATACAGGCTGAAGTCTAAAAGTTTAAAGGCTTTTGGAAAATTAAGATGCTTTTATTCATATGCTACCAAACACCCTTAATATGAAAAATTAAGATATTGTCTCTTAATTTTTCTATTAATAGGCTACCAAATAGCCCCTAAGATGGTATGAGACTTTGTGGATCTAAGCTTGACAACTCAAACTCTTTAATATTAAAAATTATATTATGTAGAATGTCTAAGATTTTTGAAATTGATCCAATCGAATTTTGGTCTAGTTGCTCAAATTGGATTTTAATTTAATTTAGAGTATCCAAATCCATGTTTTACAAATTAAAATCAATTCGGATTTACTTAATTATATTGAATCAAATTTGTAACGCCCCGATTCTCAGGTATTGTTTAAATAAGAATTTAATTGGTTTCAAGGCCTACTCGACGAGTTGTTGCCCTACTCATCGAGTAGCAGCGGGTTGGATCGCGTATTTAGTGGCCTACTCGCCGAGTCCATTAAGGGACTCGACGAGTAGGAGCTGGCAGATGAAACCCTAAATCCCGGGGTTTTGCACCCTATTTAAGGAAGCATAAGCCTCCTTTGGCCTTTTGGCAGTCCTTTGAGAGCTCAGAAAACCCTAATTCGTGTGGTGCTTCACTCTTGTGTGTCTAAAGCTTTGGAGAGGAGATATTTTGAGAATAAGAGCTTGGAGAACAAAAGGCTAGGAGCAAGGAAGTGTAGGAAATCAGAAATCTACCTCAGATAGCATCATTTGGAGGTATCAAGTCGTCACCTTTTCTTCTTTTTCCTTCTAGACCTCTTTTGGTTGAGATCTAGGGTTTTTATGGTTTGGTTAAGATGGTAATGTGGGATATGAGCTAGATCTGAAGTTGTAACTTCAGATCTGTACCCTTCTTGGGTTCTAGAGTCATAAAGCTCCGAATTTGGTCATGTATGAAGACCTTTTGAGTATGAAACCCCCATTTTGAGCTTGGATTTGACATTAAGGGCCTTTGTAGCTATGCATGCACGTAAAGTTTGCAACTTTACGTGAAAAGCATGCTTTGGAAGCTTGGATCTGTAGTTTGGAGCCGCTGCATGGCTCAAATGAGTCTGTATGGCAAAAAAGACTGAAGGGACTCGGCGAGTCGCATGGTCGACTCGGCGAGTCATATGAAGATAGGCATGAACTCGGCGAATTGGAAGAACAACTCGGCGAGTCCGATGAAGATTGCCGTAGACTCGACGAGTGGATGAACAACTCGGCGAGTCGGTTGAGGTTTCCCCAATTTTTGTATGCACGTGTAACCGTCGAGTTGCAAGAAGGAAGCTCGACGAGTGACCTTAGGGTCTCGATCATAAACCGAAGGAACTCGACGGGTCACTCAGGTGACTCGGCGAGTGGGTTAGTACTTCATGGACTCGGCGAGTAGCCGATGGTACTCGGCGAGTCAAGGTCAACATGGACTGTTGACCTTGACTATTGACTTTGACTTTGACCAAGGGTCGACTAGTAGGTTTATGGAGTACCTTGTAAGGTTGAGGACTTATGGGTATATTCATACTATGGAAATAGGTGGTGGAGTTTGTGGCAGTGATCCGAGGGTTGAAGTTTATCTACCGAGTCGACTTCTACAAGGTGACTTATCCTCACTATATCGATAGGGTCTAAGGCACCAAGGTCGGCCCTTTAGTTGTTATTGTTATGGTATGCTACATGTGGATATGATCTGTTAGATCGGAACCAGGATAGACAGTATGTTATGCTATTATGATCCGTAGGGATTGATATGTTAGTGACCTGCTAGGTCAGTGCTCTAGATATGAGAGATTGCTATGTTTAGTGGTCCGTGAGATAGATATGTTTGATGTTTGTATATGCCAGTATATGTTAGTTATGCGCACATGGTTATTTGTTTGTTGCTTGGGTTGAGGCGGTCCTGCTTTGTGCTGAAGGCCAACATACCCTATGAGCGGTCCGGGGAGACTGTAGGCCCACGTGGCGGTCCAGTTATGCCGAAGGCTCGGGACAGATTCAGATTCAGATAGACTGTAGGCCCTACAGGGCAGTCCAGTCAGGCCGATGGCCCCATATGCATGTTGTTGATTGTTTATTACTGATATGATATTATCAGTGGGGTATTGGTATTTTGGGGGTAGCTCACTAAGCCCTCGGGGTTACAGTTTTCAGTTTATTGTTTCAGGTACTTCATGAGATCATCGCAAGGCGAAGGCGTGACCGTACCGCTCCTCATCCTTATGATCTGGTTATTGGGACACTCTGATGAATAATGATTGAAAACATTTTGTAAACAAATACTATTTGGTTTTAGTTATGATTGAAAAAGTTTAAATTTGGCGTAAAATTTTTGGATGTTACAAAATCGATCCTTTCAAATGAACACTTATATCAAGAAATAACACATGATGTAAATTATGACATTTTAGGAAACATTTCACATTCGCTCAGAAAAATATTATGTACTTATCTTGATGTTATTTGAGTATTCAATATAATTACACCTCAATCCTTCTTTGATATCATATCCTTGAACTTTGTTCAATGTAACATCCGGATTTTCAAGGATATTATCGTGTAATTTGATCTTGTGATTAAAGAAGAGACTCGACGAGTTGAGGGTCCGAGTCGAGCCGGGTTTTTCCCGTGGACTTAATGAGTGGACTCGACGAGTCCGAGGAGGGACTCGCCGAGTAGGCGCTGATTAGAGAAACCCTAATTTCCGGGGTTTGAGACCTATTTAAAGGCACTTATAGCCTCATTTGCGGCCACCATTTACCTGGAAGCAAACCCTAAAGGTCATTTGAGCTAGAAAGTGAGAGAGAAGCTATCTTGGGATTTTTAGTGCATCATTTGAGAAGAAGAGAAGGAGATCAAGCAAGGGTCAAGAGGGGGAAAGTTGGATCCAGTAATAGATCGTCCAGAGCTTCTGAGGAAGGTAAAAGTCTGCACCTTTCTCATTATTTTGGTTAGATCTCATGTGTTTGGAGTTCTAGGGCTTTTACCACCTTTGGTTTGGGACTTTGAGTAAAATGGATTAGCTAGAAGCCTAGTCCTCAGATCTGGACCTTGTGAGGTCCCTAGAGTCCAAAGGTCCCAACTTTATTCATCCAAATGAGGGTTGTTGTGCTTAACACCTTAAGAAGGGCTTGTTTTGGCATTTTGAGGCATTTGTGCCATGCATGAACGTAAAGGTCGAGACTTTATGTGTCTCTGGTGTCTTCAAGGGCTAGATCTAGGGTTTGGTATGAGAGATCTGACTTTGGACGTCTGAATGAGGAATCAGACCGAGGGGACTCGTCGAGTCCATGAGTTGATTGGACGAGTCAGTGAGGGTTTGTCCCGATGAGCTTGAGCATGCGATAGCTCGACGAGTTGGGGGTCAACTCGACAAGCTGAGCTGGACCTTCACGAGACTTCTGAGGATGTGAGTGGACTCGACGAGTTGCATGAGTGCACTCGACGAGTCGGGTCAGACATGGACTGTTGACTCGAGTTTGACTTCTGTTGACTCTGGGGTTTGGTCAACATGAGTAATGGAGACCATGGAGGGGTAAAATGGTCTTTTACCCAATTCAAGAGTTAGAGAGAGAAGAATAGCCCTCATTTATTAGGGTCGTGTAAAGAGTATTGATTAGAGATATTCATCTTTTGTGCTAGGCGGAGGCTAGTTTGAGTTTCGGGTGCGAGGGTATGTCCTTGCTGCTTGTCAGGTGAGTCTTCTCACTATACTTTACCTTGAGTGGTAAGTAGAGTTATGTGACAGAGTATCTTGTATGCTATGTATGTGATGTGTTGCACTGCATTATTTCTATGTGATTTATGCTGTGTGTATTCCAGAGTTTACAGAGTTAGGACCAGAGGGTCCACAGAGTTAGGACCAGAGGGTCCACAGAGTTAGGGCCAGTAGGCCCACAAATTTATAGCCTCGAGTGGCTAATATATGTTATATGTGGTATTTTGGGGAACTCACTAAGATTTGTGCTTACCGTGTTATGTGTTATGTGTTTCAGGTTTTCTCAGGATCGCGGGATGGCACCGGCTTGATTGTACACACCAGAGAAAGAGTTATATTTTGAGGATCCTGGATTATTAATGGAGTTGTGCTTGTAATTTGAATAAACGAGATTTCTATACAAAATGTTATGAAAAGTATGCGATTTTAAAAATGAAAAATCTGTTTGAAAAATTACGGTCTTACAAGTTGGTATCAGAGCCTTGGTTTGAGGGATTCGGATCCGCCTTCGGGTAAATCTGGACTCAAACTAAGGAATTAAGAAAGAATTTTCAAAAGAAAGGATATTTCTAAAACGAGCTAGAGTTTCTAAGAGAAAACGAAAAGGAGCAGTGTGTACAATCAGCCAGAGCCCGAACGGTGATTTCCCAAAATACCCTTATTTTGTGTTATGAGATATTCTATGAGATATTATGCATGCTAGAGATAGGCTAGGTATTTCATATTTTAGGACTAGAGTGGCCTGATTTGTGATGGCTTAGCCTAGGAGTTGCGGTTATCTGTGATATGCTTTCGAGTATGTGCTGAGTAAGAGTATCCAGAGGGAATCCTTTTGAGAGAGGGATTGAGTAGAAGAGTAATTTAGGAGAGATACCTGGATGAGCATTCGTGGAATCTTCTGAGAGGGTAGTCATAGGCCCGCGTGGGGTGAAGTTGCTTGAGTTCGGTGATATCCTACGAGTATGAGGAGGGAAAGTAGGATAATAGCCTAGAGAGGTTTTATGTACTAATAGAGGTTATTCGATGCCCGAATGTTGCTTGCTTCGTGCTTTGTGGAACTCTCGATGATGGGAGTTAGCTACCAAGTGAATATGACGATATTCAGGAGGTAGATGGCTGGCATCATAAGGAGTTCTTCAGCAGCTGATGGCGGAAAAGTGTGAGAACCAAGGA